GAACAAACCAAGGTAATGAAGAGAGAGTGAGGTAGGTGTAAGTGTGTGAGTGTGTGTGTGTGTGTAAGCTATTTCACAGTTAGTGGTCAAGAAAGGCCTCTCCATAAGATGACATCTGAGGAGAAACCTGAAGGAAGAGAGCGAATGAACCATGTAGATCTTTTCTGGAAGAGCAGTCATTCCAGGATGATGGATCAGTCAATGGAAAGATTCCAGAGGAGCCTTTGGACACATTATGTGTGAGGAACAGCAAGGACACCTCTGTGACTTGAATGGAGTAAGTGAGGAGGAAAATAGAGATGAGAGCAAGAGGAATGAGGCTATTGTGCGGCAGGGGATTTATCTCTTTGGGACCATGACGAGGACTTGGATTTTACTTAGAGTGAGAGAAATATTGAAGGGTTCTGAGTGAAGTGACTCGTCAAAAGATCTGGCTGCCCTTGTGAAAGCAGAGTCCAGTTGTGAGAGAGCGTGATAGTTCAAGCAAGATGGATAGTGGCTCAGGCAGTTTACAGAGAAGGAGGTGAGAGTGGGCCAGGTGATGACCATATTTGGGAGACAGAACTGTAAGATAGACTGAATGTAGGGTGTGAAAGAGAGGGTCCAAGAATGTCCCCAAGGTTTTCACCTTAAATAATTGGGAGGATGGAGTTGCAATTTAATGAGATGGGGAAGGCTTCAAAAAAACATACGTTGAAGGGGAGGAATAAAGATTTTAGTTTTGGTTAGGCTAAGCTTAGGATACTTAATAGATTTTTTAAAAAAAATTATTTTATTTAACTTTATTTATTTATTTATTTATTTAATTTGACCAGAGAGGGAGGAAGGGAGGGAGGGAGGGAAAGAGAGAAAGAGAGAAGAGAGAAAAGAGAGGAGAGAGAGAGAGAGAGAGAGAGAGAGAGAGAGAGAGAGGAGAGAGAGGGAGAGAGAAAGCGAGCTGATACTCAAACTGTGATTGCCCATGTGGGAGTCCAACACCCTTAACCACCATGCCACCTGCTGGCACCAGGATACTTAATAGATTTTTAAAGAGGAGATATTGAGTAAGCAGTTGGATATAAGTTCTGATCTAGGCTAAATATTTTGGTTCAGGAATTTAAGTACATAAATACTATTTAAGGTTGGCAGAGTACATGTTGATAAATCAAAGGACTGGGACACTCCAGTATGACAGATCAGAGGGAAGGGGTCAGCAGAAGAGAATTAGAAGAAGCAGCCAGTGAAACAAAAGGCAAATCCACAGAAGTACTGTCCTAAAGAAAATGTTTAAAGGAAAAACCAAACTGTCATGGGTGTTAAATGCGTTAGCAGGGAGAGTTCAGGATTGAAAACAGATCATGGAAAATGGTCTTGGTGACTTTGGCAAGGGCAGTCATGGAGTGTTGGAATAAAAACAGGCATGAAAAATGGCTCAAGAGAGAATGGAAAGAGGCTATGGAGGAGGTAGTATCGCCATTCCTTCACATATTGCTTTTTTTGCTATAATAAAGAGCAGGAAAATGGGTGGTGTTGAAAGGGTTTGGGTCAAGGATGCTTTTTATGATGGGCCTGATAGCATCATGTTCCTAGATTCCCAAAAATATACTTAGCAAAGAAAAGAAACATCCAAGATGCAAAAGAGAGAGGGGACAATTGCAGGGCAAAATTCTTGAGCAGGGGCAAGGCCTTGTTCAGTGCACAAAGGGAAGGCTCGAGCCTTGGCTAGGAGGCCAAACAGTTATCCATAGTCTCCTGAGGGAAGGTTATGGGTAAGTGGTAGGAAATTTAATAGATCTGGTCATGGGAGAATGTCTCTGTTCTCTGTGACTATTATCTCAGTAAAATACGAAAGAATATTATCAACTGAGAGTGAGAAAGTATTGAGGGTTTAAGAGAGGAGGAAAAAGTGAATTAGGAAAGTGGGATAATGAATTTTTAAGGAAATGTGGTATTGTAAAATAACTCTAAGGGACAGCCTAAGGTGTATGTCACATACATTGCCTCTAATACTTTTTTTTTCTTTTTAAGAGGTTTTTGCCTTAGGGTGCCTGTGCTTGCGAGAGAGAGAGAGAGCGAGAGAGAGAGAGAGAGAGAGAGAGAGAAATCATCTTACAGGGGGATAGCCATGCCAGAATCCCTTCTCCTCCATTCCCCTCATGGAGTCTTGGGCATGCACACACATGCATCCAGTGTGATTTTCAACCCACCAGTCCAGGACTATAACCAAGGTTGGCCATCTGGGAGTCCAGCAAAGTAAGTGCTATGCCATCTCCTGGCCCCTTGTCTCTAATTCTAAGGACAGCACTAAAAAGCCTTAGATTCTTTCTATCCTCAATCTGTGTTAGCAAACAGTCTGATTCTAGTTGATACAACTAGCAAGGAATGGAGAGGAGTGAGGATTCAAACCTAGATCTATGGCACC